CGAATCCATGTATGGGCGCGTCCTTAAGCGGAAAAGTCCGATTTGGGGGGGTGCATGCACAGACAAGCCCATATGCTGTGAAAACAGGGTATGGCCGTTCTTTGAGAGAAAGCTGAGGGGCTGTTTTCCGAGCAGAACCATCCTTTTCACGGAGGTCGAGCCCTTGAGTTATCCCATGGAGAGAGCACAATGCCAAACACACGAATCTTCTCTCTAAGAATTCTCCGCAACAGCCTGGAACCTTCCGGAACCTGCCCTGCGATTGGCAAATTGCCCCATGTCGCTTTAGAAAATAATATATATATATATATATTGACGCTACAAGGGGTCTAGGATCAATCAGCGAGAAAACTTGGATTATGTTCCATGACGTGCTTCCCCAACAAAAGGAAACATAAGTAAAGGTCGATCACTTAGAGATTCTGAGGGACGCTAAGGTGTCGGAGGACATCCATGTTCAAAGGATACTTGGGTGTTCGGCCAAGATCGGCCCAGTTGCAAGATGTTGGCAGCCTAGGTTATAAGCCACCTAGAAGTTCCCCTAAGTCCCTAAGTGGATCATGCCCCAAGTGGCTAACTCGGTCCTTCCAGTAGCACTTTGGCGCTGCGCAATCGGCTTCCTTCGTCATCTCTCCTTAGACCGAAGGAAGGAAAAAACAAGGCCCTTAGAAACACATGGCTGCGGGTCAAAAATATGTACCCCAAATGGAACCCTGGCAAGTGGAAACATGGACTACAACCTGCGTTCCCCTGGTGGTTTAATTTTGACCCACACCCACATCTGCCATTGTTTTACAGTATCTCCAAAGCTTGAAATAAGAGATCCCCAATGCAAGCTGTTTGGATCCTTACCCTGGCGAGGTCGCTTTACCCCCATTCGGCCGAATGGGTGAGCTCGCCAAACAAATTATGCAGAAACATGTTCACCTTTGAAGCCAGTTGGGGGGAGGATATTTTTCAACAGCTCAATAGGCTAGAGGCAGAACCACCAAATGCTGGCCAATTCGCAGGACACATCCACAAGGTTAAAAGGCAGAAGGCAGAACCAAATGAACCAAGGGGAACCAACACGAGGCTCAACAAGCTGAAATGCTGAACCAAATTGAACCATGCCTGCTTGGCAAACAGTGGTTTGTCACCAACAGCCGGGCTTAAAGCTTGAAGGAACATTGGTCAGGGAAAAACTTGGCAAGGGCAAGAACCTTTGTGAGGTCAACCTTAATTGGCTCAGGTTGCAGCTAAAAGAAGGATTCACCTTTGGGACCTGTACAAAACTGGAAAGCCGAACAAAGGGAACGTGGGCCAAAAAGGGGGAAAGTAAACCACAAGTGGACCAAGGGAAAGCAAAAGATGTGAGAGGTCGGTTCTGAGCAAAATGGAACCTGACAAAAACCAAACGGGACATGCAGGCCACAACCATCAGAAACAGCAGTCTAAAAGGTCCATGGGTTAAATGGGGAATCCCGTGGGGTCATGGGATAGTGGCGTCATGGGTAAGTTCGTTGGTGAATTGGACCAGATATGCATTTACAAGATGTTTTTGCCCTTCTCCTGGATTGGCCAAACAAAGTGCGAAGTTGTTGCCTGCCACTAAAGTAGTCCAAGCCCAAAAAGTAGGTTGAGTCAGGGCAAAACAACCATACCCCGAAACAAAAAAACAAAAACACAAGGGATAGTGCAGGTCCTGCAGAAGGTGGCATGAGAGACCCTTTGTGCCAAAATGGCGGGCATCCCCTTTTGGCTTTTGATTGGTCTTAAAGGGACACAACGAGGAAAACTTGGAGGGCCCCTGAAAAAAACAACAACAAAAAAGCACTCATTTAGCACCCGGGCCGTGCCCATCAAGTCTCCACAGGGCCGCCAGAACTCGTGGACCTCCAAAGTGCCCGAGGCGCCTTTTCCACTCGGACTGACAGGGTTGGAAGCTCCGCTTTTCGCATTTGTTTGCAAGCGAAAACACGAAGCTAGGGCAGTAACCCAGAAGGAAACTCGAGTCTTTAAACAAGAGATCCTAAACATTGGCGAGGTTGTCCCTTTGGCTTCCCTTTAAAACCAACCAAAAAGGGGGTCCCCCAAAAAACAACGCACCCAGTGGGCCGGAACTCGCCCACACACAACAACAACTTGTGATTGTGTTTTACTTGGATGCCTGGGAAAAGAGTATGAGTTTTAATCGGGACCAGGGTATCCAGGGCATTCCTCCAGCTGGGGACGCGATTCAGATAAGAGTCCGGAGTGCATTTTTTATCGCAAAAGAAACAGTCCTGGCAACAACTAAAAACACATACGTGTATAGTTGAAGTGAACATTGTCATAGTCATTCTGTGTTTTGGGGGTGGGTTGGTTTACCCACCATGGTTACTGTAAACCCCTATCAAACCACCTTCATCTTAGCTGAGCTTTCTTCTCAACAAAACGCAGCTGAGTTGTTCTTGAAGCTCTGCTGGGCTGTCTCCTCCAAAGCGGCAAGAACAAGTGCAAACCTTTTGGAGGGCGGAGGAGAGTAATTGCTAAGTTGGCAATGCTGTGTTGAGACTTCTCCCCAATGGTTGGCCTTTACTTTCCCAGAGTAAACAAAAGCAAACACAAACAACGGGAAATGACAACGACATAACTAAAAGTGGAAATGAAACAATCAGTTCAACATAGATGCTTGAATATATCTTAGCATTGATCTTAGTACCAAACAGGTGAGAACAAGTCGAGTTCCGGCCCTGGAAAAACAGGACCCGAGGGTTCCTCACCCTGCCACAGAAGCAACATCACCCTGAAGTGTGCACCAAAAGGGGATATCTGGAAACATCAACTTTCCTGAGAGTCTTGGCCAAACTTAGACCCCCTGCAAAAAAAAACAAAAACTGTGTTGCCCGTTGATAAAGGAGGGGGGCAGGTGACGGAAACCCCAAAGCTCAAAAAAATAAAACAAAGAACAACAAAGGTCTAAGTCATATATGGCCATGGGTCAAAATCCCGTACCCCCAGTGAATATTCCAATCTCCACTAAAATAGACTACAATGGGCGGTTCACCTACCCCAAAATGGTACCATTGGTTTTGACCCACTGCCATATATGGAAAAAACTATTTGCGAACCCGGGCGCCTGTTCTTCCAAGTGGTGTAGCAATCGCAGCCTGACTTGATCTGCCGGAGATAGATCTGAGCCGTGTGGTCCCCCGGCTCGATGCCATCACAGAAGCCCGCAAAGCTCCGGATACGCTCAGGGCTGCCATCAGGAAAATAGATCCTCGGCGAAAAACGAGGAGATTCGTTCAAGACCACTTGGAACAGGGTGTCCTATACTTCTCCCTACAACATCACCACACGAAACTCATGTAAAATTGGCCAAAAGGTGATGTTCAACACCACCAGCAAGGGAAATATAGGGAGCCCTGAACAAGGGGCACAAGTAAAACACCCGGAAAAAATGTGGGCGGATCTGGAGATGGGGGAAGTTAAATGGCTCAAGGTCAAGCCATTGTGGGTTTAATCATCCCTTTCACTTACCCTCGCAAAAGGGAATTGTGCCATGTATCGCTTGCGGAGCCTGCTCCAAAATGTCAAAAGAAACCTCGGCCAATGCTATGACTGAAACGAACCTCTTTTCAAGGCGACCAAGAAACTCAGGTCAAAATGCGTTTTCCAGGAGGAACCTGCCTGGAAAGGGGAAACAGAAAGGGCCCAATACACTTGTGCCACCCAAACTTCAGCTTCCCTCTGGTTTGGAGGCTAGGGGTGCTGCCACAATAACCTGTTACCCTCACCAATTACCCTCACCAATAGAAACAGGCGAGCGTTGGCGAGCGTTGGCAAAGCGTCTTGGTGCTTCCGATCTTGAGGTCTTTCAGGTGCGTATAGACCTGTCAGGACTCCGGCTCTCAGACGAGAGGATTTCCCATGGTGATGGTAATTGTTGGGCTGCTTGGAGAAATTGAGGGCCAAGGTCGATCCCTATTGTTTTGGATCAAGTTTCGCAGTGGTTAGGAGGCTCAGGCCCAAATTTAATCCACACGCATGGCTCTGTGTCGTTTGGATAGGCCATGGCATTGATTTCAGCAGCAAAGCGACTTTGTAAACCCCAATGACAGGTTGCATCAGGTTGCTTGCGCGTGACCTTGAGCTTTCCTTACGCGACCCACGTCTTGGCTTCCGTCTCAGTCAGCGAGCATGTTAGGATTACGCGTCACTTACACGTCAGCGTTTTGAGCGTGTCCCCCCAAGTTGCGCAGGCTCCTTGTCAAGAATGGGGCGAAGAACTAGCCTCAGATTCAGCGGCTTGGCGGTGCTGTTCTTACTGCAGGACAAGAAATGGCGGCATCCGAGCGTGCGCGTTAACCTTACGCGCCTGCTTGCGCGAGCTTACGCGAGCTTACGCGCCCAAGAGCCCTTTTAGATTTCCTAAGTCCGCAGTTTGAGAAGCCTTGTTTGTTCTAGGAAAGGCCGCGCAGACAACATGGCATCGTTGCAGTGGCAGCAGCAGCAGCAGCATTTTGCGACTGCATTTTGAAGTCCTTTCCAGGAGCTTTGAGGGGGGAGAACAAGGGCATATGTTGCATGCTCAAAGGGGAGGGTCATAAAGAATTTACACATGCGATGATAGCTTCGACGGCACCTGCCGCGAGCCCCAAGAGCTCCCAATCAAAGTTATGCTGGTTTTCAAAACAATGCGCACATGTGGTCTTACGCGCAATCCGACTTCCGGCAGCCAAAGTCCAAATTGACAAGCTCGACTAGGTTCAAATAGCACAAGCCACCAGTGAGCACCTAAGAACATGTGTTGAAATAAAAACTTCCGGACCAAGCAATCACGAAGAAGAGCTTACGCGGGTGCTTACACAGCATGTTTCCCCAACAGAGCGTACGCCGTGCAGGGTTTTGCTTACGCAGGGCCTTCTTATGACACAACTCTTGCTAGCCTTAGGGATGTAAAGGGGAGTTTTTAGAGCTGCTCTGACAACAGACAAAGTCGGTGCATAGAGGATGATCTCACCTCTGCGGTTGAGTCGTAGGCTCACCTCCAGCGTGGATTAGCAAACAAACATGTGTCTTTTTGCGCCAACAGCCTCGCAAACGCATGCGGTCCAGGTTCTGGACCGAGTAGGGAGGGGTCCCATTCGCGACGGAAACCTTCACCTTGCTTAAGCCCCAATCATTATTTAAGCTACCGCGGAAAATCTTACATGTGTCCTTGATTCAATGGACCCTGTCCCTCCTAAGCCCCCAGACATGGTATGTGTAGTGAGTTCTTACAAACCTATTTGAGTGTCTCGTCTTTTTGTGCCGGTACCTGCTTTTCGAGCGAAGCCACAGAAGACACACCCATTTCAGGGGAGCTTCAAGTTTCTTCTGCTTCGGTCTCTCTCGCATGGTTTCGAGCACCCCCGGGCCACTACCGATCGTGGAAAACTCTAGCCCCGTTCTTTTCACCCGTCGTTCTTTTCAAAAACCAGGTGTTTTCCCTGGGGCTTTGATGGTTTTCTGAGAAGAAGGATCCCTGGAAAGAATGGGGATGTGTGTTCGAAAAAACAGCGGACTTGTCCAAACAAGTAGTCTTCCAAAACCTTCCTGTCAGCTGCCATGATTGGAGAGAGGCTGCCATAAAACACTTCCATTTGCTTGTCCCATGATCAAAAAGAAGAAGAAAAACGAACAATGTGTCCAGTAGTGATAGATTCCTTTTAAAATCAACAGGGAACAACAAACCACATTCAGCAAATTGAAGGAAAGCAAACAACAAAAACATGTTGAAACTTTCCGCGTTCTTTTCGTGGCTCGCCGCCCACCTGCCTGCCCGAAAATCTCCACGCTCGGGCACACCTTCTGATCGATGTGGATCTCCCATTGGCACGCGCAGTTGTTTCCGGAGCCCTGGCACACAAAAGCGAAACCTAAAAAACATTTGGGACGGGAGGACTAAATACTTCACCAGCCTCTTTTCTCTTTTCTCGGCCTTGTCTACTGCACCCAGCGTAAGCAGAATGCAGCAGGAACCAACTTCCATCCTACCAAAAACGAGCGAGACCCGCCCTCTGCACAACCACCGGCCCCATTGCATTGTGCAATGCAGCCACCGGAACGTTCCTCAACGCCCGGTACTCGCCACGGACAGCACCCTGAGGAAGCTGCTGGCGCAGCCAAGACTCCTCCAGGCTATGCACGGCAAAGTCGCCCACAGGGCTGTGCTATAGGGACGCACCGAACTCGTGTGCACATCCAGAAGCAATTCCTTAAGAATTTCAAGCAAGGCAATGCGGAACCACCTGGTGCGATCTCCCGCACTCGCACGGACATGGTGAATGGATTTCACCTTCATGCAATCTACCCACCTCCACTGCACTGAATCATAAAGCGGGCCAGGCCGGCCTGTTCCCATCTGAAAATCGATGAGCAGCTGGGCAAAGCTACGCCACCGTGCTTCCATGTGTTCACACCAAGTGAGTGACACCCAAGCCTTGACATGCCTCACAAAATCAATTCCAAACTTTGCGGCACTCTTGGGACACTCTCCCCCACCACCACGCAAAACCGGCTGTGGGCAAGCACGAGCCGGCGGCAGTTCAGGAGGCACTCCATTTCCCTGCCTTTTGGCCTCCTTGACAGTCTGTGTGGCTCGAATGCCCACCCGCATCTGCACAGTCTGTATTTCAGAAGCAAGGGTGCGCAGTGCTTGTAAGTTGTCCTGGACCTGCTTGACTGCATTCAAGACATGCTCCGGCCACTGCTGATTTGCGCTGGCAGCTAGCTGATCAACCGTTGCATTGTGTATTCTTGCCCAAGTCTCAACAGGCCCAAGGTCATCACTAGGCTGGCAGTGGGAAACCACTTTACACGCTCTCACCGGCTGCACACACTGACCGACCAGTGCTGCGACCACCTGCCAAAGGTCAGAGTCTCTAGAGTTGGGCGTGGGCGCCCAAAGATGCTCACAGATGGACTGAGCCTTGCGCTGAACTGATTGCTTGTCAATCCAGATGCGTGGGGCCTTGGCAGCCCAAACTGCGTATCTGAGAGCCGCAATCAATGCCATGATCTCCGCCCTATGCACTGTCTGAACCACGCCAGGAAGCGGACCCGAGGACAGACACTGCGCCTGGGAGAATCCAGGAGCAACCACCACCATCACCGCCCAAGCTGCGAGGGAGGTGGATCATTGGTGGAGGAAGCCGGCTGCGCTTCTGTGTGGAACAGGGCGGAGGAGGTTCAGGGTCAGTGTGTGAGCCCTGCTGTGACTGCAGTGTCGCTTACTGAGCAGTACCTTCGTGTGGCTCAGGACTATGAGAATCAGGCAGGTTACCACTGGATGCAACAAGGGGTCCAGCTACCCTCGGTTGTTTTGGGCCGAGCTGCAACGGTAGCAGCGTCTGTAGGAAGCCTTTGGTTCCCCCCTCGCGACCGTCGAGGCCAGGAGAGGTGGAGCCGGACTATCTCGGGTCGTCAGTGGCCTATGCCAGGTGGTTCAAGCAACTCAGAAGATTGCAATCATACTTGCAAGCTGTCGCAAAAGGCAGTAGTAGTCCTGAGGCTCAACTGCACAGAGCCGAGCTGCGGCGGTCCATTGTTCATGCTGCTGGTTTCGCACCGTGCTTCGTGGAGTGGTGGAGCGCGCGGGTGCATAGCATGGTAGGGGATCCGGAGTACATCCCGTGGTGGCCCCCTTCTGCGCAAGTGGCCGGGAAAATTTTTGCAGCATTTCAGGCAGAAGTCAAAACGCTAGGTGATAACTTAATGCAGCAGAAAAAGGTTATTGCCGCGCAGCGTAGACGGGAAAAACCGGCGCTTGTCATGCGAGATGTCCGTCGGGAGCAGCCGGCTCCAGTGGATGTCCTTCTCAACAGCCAGGTAGCGGTGGTGGAGGAGGTGCGTGCTGATGAAGGCATGATAGTGCTGGATAAGCCCCTGCATTTAGATACACAACGGCCTGTAATTCACAAAGGGCAGCCACTCAGCGTGATCCGGGCCGAGGAGGATGGTGTTTGGGCGGAGGAATGCGGTCGAGTCGAGCCGGGTGATGTGATCCGCCAAGATAAATTCGTGGGTGGACTCAGCGAGATGTTTTCTGCTTTTGGCACTGAGTGGAAAAATCGGTGGTGTAAACATGAGGAGGTCCCTGACTCTCGGTGGGATCAAGCACGTCAGATTGTGCAGCTCTTACCCCACCTGCCGGTGGATGAGGTTGAGGACATTACTCCAAGTCAGCTGCGGAAAGCAGTTAAAAGCAAAAAGGTCACAGCAGCCACGGGCCTAGATGCAGTGAGCAGGCAAGACGTCATGCAGATGAGTGATCAGCAATTGCATGAGATTGCAAAAATTTTCCAGCGAGTCGAAGCAGGCGAAGCGTGGCCTGACCAGCTTGTGCAAGGGTCAGTTGCCTCACTTGAAAAGCGGCGAGATGCCAGCACAGTTGGTCATTACCGCCCGATCTGTGTGTTCCCGTTGCTGTATCGGGTATGGAGTACAATCAGAGCAAGGCCTATCACACAGCGCCTTGCTAGCATTGCTGCGTCAGGCCACATGGGCAACATGCCACGCAAACATGCTGCAATGGTGTGGTATCGCATTCAAGAGAGTGTGCAGACTCCTCACATGACCCAGATGCAGGTTATGTGGCGGATGTGGTTAAGGCGTTCAATTGCCTGCCCAGAGCTCCGGTCATCGAGGGGGCAGTACGCTTCGGCATCAGTCCCAAAATCTTCAGAGGGTGGGTGGGCACGTTGTGGTCAGACAGGCTTGTGGAACGCCCCTGGAATCGCATACAGGCTATGAGCATCATTGACCTCATGTATCATGCCTTTCTGGCTCAGAGTATCCCAACTTCTTGGCCGGTGTCTTATGTGGACAACTGGGAGGCTTTGGTTTCTGATGTGCACCTTGTACTCCCTGTGCACTTGGCCATCCGGCAATTTGCCAATGCACTGGACATATGCATTAATGCAGCCAAGTCCTACAGCTGGGCCACCCAGGATGCAGACCGCCACACACTCCGCGGGCAGGGCCTAGTAGTCGTAAATGCCGGCAGGGATTTGGGGGCTCACATGCAGTATACCAAGCAGCATGGTAATGCCACGTTGCACATCAGAGTGGCTCAACTACAGGATGTGTGGACAAAATTGCGCCAGTCCCCTGGGGACTACCGTGCAAAGCGTCATGCCATTAAGGCGGTTGCCTGGAAGCGTGCTCTGTATGGCGCAAGCATAAGTACATTGTCACCAGAGATGTTGCAAAAAATGCGTACAGGTGTGATGAGTAGCCTCAGGGTGAAAAAGGCTGGTGCCTCACCATGGGCACACCTCACTTTCTGTGAGCACTGTAGCTTGGATCCCGAGTATGCCGCCTTGCAGGCATCTGTTCGAGACATGCGGCCCTTGGCCAATCGGGAGCAGGTAACGGAAATCCTTGAGCGCTGGTTGAGTGAAGGTGGCAATCTGCCTCCTGGGCCCCTCTCGGTGCTCATCAAGCGATGTCATCGCATTGGACTGTCGGTTGGGCCGGAATTGGTGATCCATGACCAAATCGGGCAGCTTTCTTTGTTGGAGGTGAGCATTCAGGAGGTGCAGCTTTGCTTCCGCCGAGCTTGGAGTAGACATGCGGGCGGAATGTTGAGTGCAAGATGGGATTTCACAGGTGCTCTCACGGGTGACCCCGTTGAAACTCGCAAAGTCTGCCCAGCAGCGGACATGGCAGAGGTTGCTGTCTGGCGAACGGTGGTAAATGGCACCACGTATGCTCAGGACACTCGTGCTAAGATAAGCCCGGCGGAGTCAGCTGCCTGTCCATGGTGCGCCAGACCAGATAGTGTGTGGCACCGGCTTTGGGAGTGCGCATTTTTCGAGAGGGATCGGAGTGTCATGTCTGATAACACTTCGGCATTGATAGAGTCCCTTCCGAAGTGCCTCGCTATGCATGGGATAGTGCCTGAGGTTGCTGGCAAACAGCAGCTGCTGGCATTTCTGCAAGGCACGCATGATAGCACCGGGTGCTTGGAACCCGTCAGTGTTGTTGGTGAGCAGGGGCGCTTGGCGCTTGGCCAGCAGCTCTTCAAGCTTTTGCATCTGCATGTCGAACATGGATTGCACCTTGACGCTTTGCTCCTCCATGGCTGTATGGATGCCACTGATTTGCATCTGCTGGGTCACAGCTTGCTCCTGCGCCTGCAAGTTCCCGGAGCTGGTGCTCAATCTGATCCATCCGGCCACCTGCAGGAGGCATCAGTTCATCATCCGAGTCACCTGAGACTTTGATCACTTTCTGCTGAACTTTCTCAAGGATGCGTTGCTCCATCTTTTCCAACACACTGGCTGCAAATTGCACTGGCGGCGGGCCAGGCGCACTGCTCGTGGCTTGCTTGTGCTGCATTCAACTCTGCAACCATGGGTCGTTGCGCACAAGTGGATCTTCCGGAACTTTCTTGGGTGCAACAATCACTGGCTTGGCTTGCGCAAGACTGATGAGCACTTCGCCTCCCTTGGTGTGAATGACTTGGACCGGCGGATCACTGGTGGCTTGGACCTGCCACACAACTCCCGCTCCACCTGCGGCGCTGCAACCGGCTGCAATTCGCGCAAGCCACGCAATCACTTTCAGGAGCTTGGTTACTCCATCACGCTGGGTGCCAAAGGGCAGTGGGCCGAGCTCATACATCTTCTTATCCCCCGCATGCAAAAAGGGGATGCCTGGGCGCAACTCATTGTGGATCTTCTCAGCCTGTGCAGCTTCTACTCGGACTCCCAGCTTTGCTCCATGCCTGGCAACACTTACGGCAGTCTTGATGGCTTGCGCATGCCTGCGTACCTCTGGCAGCGTGGTCCTGGGCAACCAGATGACACCAGTGTTGTTCACTTGGCTTGGTACCATCATGCGTGCGGGGCTCA